AACGATACCATTATATATTTCTAGCCTATTTTGGAATAAATAACCATCAAATTTCACTTAGTGCAAACTAACAAAGAAAACAGTGTAAGTTAATGAAACATACCCTCCAAAATTTGTCAGACTTTCAGAAAGGTACTTATCTGCTATTTTTCTTACCTCTATTCAAAGTAACTTTGGAAAGGCCAAAATCTGTCAGTTTAATATGACCCTCATTAGAAATAAGCATGTTGTCTGGTTTCAGGTCCCTGGACATACAAAAGACAAATAGTAGATCACTAAAAAGGGGCTTGTTTTGGTGTTAGAACATCCAGAAAAAAAAAAAGAGAGAGAGAGAGAGTTATAGAAGAGGCAAACATTATTTCCTCTAAAATAAGGGATTCACTCATTAGTGGCTTTGAAAAGTGTAGAAAACAACACTCAAAAGCAAAACATCTTTTGTGCTGTATATCTGAATCTACAAAAAAGCTAAATGATTTAATACTAGATTACTTTTGGCATTATTCGTTAGATATTTTGGTAAAATAAATAAACCTCATCAGATAAAATGAACTTCAAGCCAGTTCAAAATCACATTTACTTCTAAGGAAGGTAAGATTAAGCTTTTTCTTTTTCTTTTTTTTTTTTTTTTTTGAGACAGTCTTGCTTGGATCTCGCTCATGCTTAGGCTGTTCTTGAGAGATTAAGCTCTAATAGAGCAGTCATTTAACTTGACTTTCTTTGAACAGAGAAAAACATTGTAAATCAGCTATGACTGCAAAATACAGCACTTTTGTATGATGGTAGAAGAGTGGAAAAGGATTCAATATTCTTCACATTAAAATGCTATATTCATGTTCAAAGCAACACATTTAAAAAACACAGGGAGATATAAGAAGAGTTAATAAGAATTTCTAAATTCACACGAGTTACTATTAAACTTCAGATATCCTGGAAATATGAGCAAATGGTTGCTGCAAATATTTGAGACTCAAATATTTAATACATAATTTGATTACTTGTATTTTTAAGTAAGAGTTTGGAGAAAAGTCAACCTGTGAATGATTCCATGTCGATGAAGGTAGTCTAGAGCCAATGCTACTTCAGAAATATATTTCACAGCCATCTCTTCATCAAAATAGCCGTATATATGTAGGAGAGACTTGACATCTCCACCAATAAGATATTCCATTATCTATCAAAAAAGGAATTAAATGTTGTAAAATAAAAATAG